TTCAATTCCCACTGGTTCATATTCTTCCAAAACGTAAACCTTAACCGTCTGCATCTGATTAAGAAGCCCTGATCTTATTCATAGTTAGATAATAAGTAGTTTTGTCTGTCTGGGTTATGTACTGTAGATATTGCTGTTCATAAATATCACAGTTACATAAACTTTACAGATGGAAAGAAAAATATCAAATAACCTCAAATCTCTTCTATCTTTAAAATATATCTATCCTGTCCAGTGGTGTCTATCATAGGGTTGTATTATATCATGACTAGAGCAGACACTGCTAAATATGATGGATTTAATATCACTCAATCCTGGACCTTGCATAAATTATATTCTAGACACGCCATCTAATATAGCTGTGGCATCATCAGTCTTAAAATATAGTTCTGGAGGAACAAGTATCAGTGGGATTGTATTATATTCTCACTAGTTCATGTTCTTCCCAAACTAAACCTTAATCTTCAGCTTTGATACTGATCTTATGCGTAGGACACATACAAATTTACGGGGTTGCATTATTACACTTAGATCGTAAATAATTCAATTAAAAACTCCTCATTCAGATATTGCAATGCAACCTAAAATTTTCTAATTTGATTCGATGAATTCGTATATAGATGATATTTCATAATATATTTTCTTATTTTTTAATAATATTTCGCATAAATTTTCACAGCTGGCACTGGGTTTTCGAATATTCCTGGAAAATATGAAAATATTTTCTTCATTATCACAAATCCTCAAAATTTGAGGAATCAATATTTTCCAAAGAAACACTGGGCTCATATAAAATAAAAAAATCAGAAGTATCCACTATCTCATTTGTGCGTTTATCTTAATTTCAGGAATTTTTTTCTTCTCTCTCCTTAATTGTATAATAAAAAATATATGAATATAGTAGATAATCTTTGAAGTTTATTATGCAAGATTTTTTATATTAAGATCTCAATCCATTTCAAAGTAATTCGGACTGCTGAAACTTCTCTCTCTTAACTCTACATCTATAATCTACATTCCAGGACGGAATCATTCCTTCTCATGGATTTTCTTTGGATTTGGACATCTTGGCGATGTTTCCAGGTAAATCAGAAATATCTCCGGACTTGAGCATCTTGGCCAAGTTTCCAGGTAAATCAGAAATATCTCCGGACTTGAGCATCTTGGCCAGGTTTCCAGGTAAATCAGAAATATCTCCGGACTTGAGCATCTTGGCCAGGTTTCCAGGTAAATCAGAAATATCTCCGGACTTGAGCATCTTGGCCAGGTTTCCAGGTAAATCAGAAATATCTCCGGACTTGAGCATCTTGGCCAGGTTTCCAGGTAAATCAGAAATATCTCCGGACTTGAGCATCTTGGCCAGGTTTCCAGGTAAATCAGAAATATCTCCGGACTTGAGCATCTTGGCCAGGTTTCCAGGTAAATCAGAAATATCTCCGGACTTGAGCATCTTGGCCAGGTTTCCAGGTAAATCAGAAATATCTCCGGACTTGAGCATCTTGGCCAGGTTTCCAGGTAAATCAGAGATATCTCCAGACTTGGACATCTTGGCCAGGTTTCTAGCTAAATCAGAAATATCTCCGAACTTGGAAATCTTGGCCAGGTTTCCAGGTAAATCAGTAAATTCCCAGTATTATCTGTCCTACTGTTCTCCTCCATAGTATTATCCGTCCTACTCTTCTCCTCCCCAGTATTATCCGTCCTACTCTTCTCCTTCCCAGTATTATCCGTCCTACTCTTCTTCTCACAGTATTATTCGTCCTACTCTTCTTCTCCCCAGTATTATTAGTCCTACTCTTCTCCTTCCCCGTATTATCCGTCCTACTCTTCTCCTCCCCAGTATTATCCGTCCTACTCTTCTTCTTCCCAGTATTATCCGTCCTACTCTTCTCCTCCGCAGTACTATTCGCCCTACTCTTCTCCTCCCAGTATCATCAGTCCTACTCTTCTCCCCAGTATTATTCGCCCTACTCTTCTCCTTCCCAGTATTATCCGTCCTAATCTCCTCTTCCCCAGTATTATCCGTCCTACTCTTCTCCTTCCCAGTATTATCCGTCCTACTCTTCTCCCCAGTATTATCCGTCCTACTCTTTCCTTCCCAGTATTATCCGTCTTACTCTTCTCCTACACAATATAATCCGTCCTACTATTCTCCTTCCCAGTACTATCCGTCCTACTCTTCTCCTCCCCAGTATTATCCGTCCTACTCTTCTCCTTCCAGAGTATTATCCGTCCTACACTTCTCCTTCCCAGTATTATCCGTCCTCTTCTTCTCCTCCCCAGTATTATCCGTCCTACTCTTTTTCTCCCCAGTATTATCCGTCCTACTCTTCTCTCCAGAATTATCCGTCCTACTCTTCTCCTTCCCAGTATTATTCGTACTACTATTCTCCTTCCCAGTATTATTCGCCATACTCTTCTTCTCCCCAGTATTATCCGTCCTACTCTTCTACTCCCCAGTATTATTCGCCCTACTCTTCTCCTTCCCAGTATTATCCGTCCTACTCTTCTCCTCCCCAGTATTATCCGTCCTACTCTTCTCCTTCCCAGTATTATACGTCCTACTCTTCTCCTCCCCAGTATTATCCGTCCTACTCTTTCCTTCCCAGTATTATTATCTTTAACTTCGCGTTCCTGGTCAAGGCATCCTAGAGAGAAGCGCATTCTGCCAAGAGCAGCACACGCTTCAACAGAGTTGTGTTTAGCAGCAATTCTAAAATATATAACAGCTTCCCTGTTACTTAATGATCGGCTGTTCTCAAAGAGAGGACGGATTGCTAGCTCACATTCTTCCTTCTCACAGACAAACCTGAACTCGTAGGTTAAACCTATAATCAGAGCAGCTTTCCAGTCCCCTGCTTCAGCCAGCTTCTTCATTTCTGACCTTAATACTCCAGTCTTTGAACTTATGTAGTTTTTATAATCTTCAGGCTAATTCCATATCGTAAAAACTTAGAATAATATTGTAGAACACCCTTAGAGAATTACTTTTCAACAGTATTGGGAAACTGCATTCGTTTTTCTCCATTTAATTTCTACAACGTGGACTGCGGAAAGCATGCTGAGTGCAGACACAAACAAAAGCTTCCTTAGAAGATTGAATGGTGAATCTACAGTAGTAGCACTTGATGTAGTTGGTCTTCAGGTCCAAGGTGTACTTCTTGATGTCCGGAGTAGATAATGACATCGCGGTAAGGTTTGCAGGGTTATCAGAGATATCTACAGATGAAGCCATATTCAGTTCAGAACACAGTATCCTAAATAGTAATCAGAATTTTATTTTTCTATCGAGAAAATAAATTCTTATCGATAACCAACGTAATCTTAAGTCCATGCAAAAATGACTGCTATTTTTAGAACCGTACTCTTGGCCTTAAAAGTTATGTCTGATTAAGTATAAATCAGATATCCAACTTCTTTGTTTCTTTAAACTGTTTTTTTTACACGAAAAGGGTTAGGCAGTTTTGTGTATATCAATAATTTTGTAAGTCTCCATTGAATCTTTTAAATCAAAATCTACAAAATTTTAAGCTTCCAAAAAGGAAACTTGGAAGTTTCGTTCAACGATACTCTTTTCAATTTCGGGCTCAGAGGGCAAAACTTAAAAGAAATTTACCGGGTATCCCAAACCAAACCTGGCCACGAAACCGGGTTAGCTCTCTTAAGTCTGGGTTTGAGTTTCGTAAGGGTTTCGGGAAACTCCGGAAACTTAGAATGTTACGGGGCAATACCTCAAAATGAAACCCTTGTATAGGAGTAGGGTTACGGCTGGGAAAGTGAGTTTCGTAGTGATTGTGGAACATATGAAGCACCATTTCTTCGTATTTATGCTTTAAATGGCTTCATATATGTTCCAAATACTTGATCAGTTAAGATCTCTCTCTCTATAGACTCGATATTGAATAGAGTACAGTCAAATCGAACTTAAAAACATTTTTCTGTTAAAAGTGAATACAGTAATTTATTTAAGTTTATCTGCTAGCAGCCCCGTAACCAGGGGGGGGGTGCAAGGGTGCAGGTGCACCCCCTTTCTTCTAAAAGAGGGGTGCAATGACGAATTTGCCCCCCCCCCCTAGTCCCATATAACAGAAATTGTTTTCATAAGTTTCTAAAATCTAGTTATAAATTATATAGCCCGAGTAAGAATAATAATATCAATAGACTGCTGAAGAAAAATTAACATTAATCCACCTAATACATTAAAATAGTTTTTTCAAAAAGTCCTGTAAATCACTTTTGCTTAAAAATCTTAATGATATTGTAAAAATTTAGAATGCAACAGGAAAAAAAATTGTAGCCTTAGAAATTTTTTTAATGAGATCCTTGTGCAAAAAAAACTTTTTTAAGTTTAATAAGTACCAAACATATTCTTTAAACTAAAAGAAAGTCTCAGCAAATTCACAAATGTATCTGATGACATCACACAACTACAGATACTTTTAAAAAATCTGTAGCTCCACCTTTCTGGACATTATAAGAGTGTAAATTTAAATCTTTCCTTGGATGGGCCGACTATTACGCCAAAAAAAGGATACCAATTTGATCACTTTCAAGTGCGTAGCAGCTTTATTCATAAAACACCACAGCTAGAGACTCCAACGACAGCATATTTTAACCCAGTTTCCTAGAGTTTCAAAATACGTTTTAAGAACATGAAACCCGAACTCTGCCAAACCCGGGTTTCAGGAAACGGGTATCGTAGCGAGTTTTATAATTTTGCACCTATGTGTACGCTTACTAGATTGTACTCTCTGTACACTTCAAACATAAACGTACAGTACATCAACTTTTATACAGTTTAGTTAAGGGGCGATTCAAAAACAATAAACAAATAAATTAGCAAAAGTTTAAATATTGTTTAAGTTATTATTAATATTTAGTGTAGATTCGAATTTCTACAGAATTGATAAGGATTAACTTGAACAGGATTACCTGCATATATTATGTTGACTTCAAGTCTGGATCGCCGGGAGTTCAGTTTAAGGGGCACATTATTCTGGAAAAAAAATCACTGGATTTAATTTTTAAATTTTAGTTTGAGACATTGAAATATTCTGGTTCGGAAAACAATGATACGGGGCCGGATATCTAAACTGGGCCTCGACTATTGATTGGTATGCATGAAATGTAGATATTCATGTATTGTATATTTTGATTTATCACTTAAAAAGTAGCAGTAGGATATCTTGATCTATGGTACCATGCAGTATATAAAAGCAATGATTAGGAACAGAATATTCAGTGTATTCTGTATACTACGAAGCTAAGTTCTGATTAGGAGCAGGATAGTGTATCCTGGATACCATGGAGATAGGTTCAGATAAGGAGTAGGATATTGTGTATCCTGGATACCATGGAGATAGGTTCAGATAAGGAGGAGGATATTGTGTATCCAGGATACCATGGAGATAGGTTCTGATAAGGAGTAGGATATTGTGTTTCCTGGATACCATGGAATTTGGTTCTGTTTAGGAGCAGCATATTGTGTATCCTGGATACCATGAAGTTAGGTTCTGATAAGGAGGAGGATATTTTGTATCCTGGATACCCTGGAGTTAGGTTCTGATTAGGAGCAGGATATTGTGTATCCTGGATACCATCGAGTTAGGTTCCGATAAGGAGGAGGATATTTTGTATCCTGGATACTATGGAGTAAGATTCTAGCAACACCAGGTTATCTTTACTCCACAAATCCAAAATTTGAATCTCTTATCTCTAGCTTCCTCCAGTAGTTGGTTTCTCTCTCTAGCCAGGACCCTGAGCAGATCAGTCCTAGTCTTCTTCCTAGAGGAGATCTCAACCTGGAGATGTTTACTAGTCTTTAATCTAGTCTTGAGAAGGGTTAAAGTATCCTTCTCCTTCTCAATACAAGACTTTAACCTTCCTGAATTACTCTCGTCTGCAATCTTGTGCTGGAACAAATTTCGAATCAAATCTTCCTGTTTGAACACCTAGGACAACAAAAGTGTCAAACAAAAATTTTAAATTGCAAAAAATGTATGGAATAATCACATTTATCTAAAGAATATACTCACTCATTTAAAGAATATACCCATTTATGTATACAATAACCACATTCTTATACAATAACCACATTCTTTTAAAGAAAATACTCATACAATAAACACATTCATTTAAAGAATATACCCATTCATTTATACAATAACCACATTAATTTAAATAATATACCCATTCATTTATTTAGTGACCACATTCATTTAAAGAATAGCTAATTCATTTTTACAATAACACATTCTTTTAAAGAATATACTCATTCATTTATACAATAAACACGTTCATTTAAAGAACATACCCATTTATTTATAGAATAACCACATTCATTTAAAGAACATACCCATTGATTGCTATAATAACCACATTCATTTAAAGAACATACCCATTGATTGATATAATAACCACATTCACTTAAAGAATATACCCATTCATTTAAAGAATATACCCATTCATTTACAGAATATACCTATTCATTTATACAATAACCACATTCATTAATAGAATAACCACATTCATTTAAAGAACATACCCATTGATTGATATAATAACCACATTCATTTAAAGAATATTCTCATTCATGTATAGAATAATCACATTCCTTTAATGAATATACCCATCTATTTAAAGAATATACTCAGTCATTTATAGAATAACCACGTTCATTTAAAGAATATACCCATTCATTTATAGAATAATCACATTCCTTTAGAGAATATACCTATTTATTTAAAGAATATACTCATTCATTTATAGAACAGCCCATTCATTTAAAGAATATACTCATTCATCTATAGAATAACCACATTCATTTAAAGAATATACTCATCCAGTTATACAAAAACCACATTCATTTAAAGAATATATCCATTGATTTATATAATAATCACATTCATTTAAAGAATATACCCATTCAATTATACAATAACCACATTCATTTTAAGAATATACTCATTCATTTATAGAATATCCACATTAAGTAAGTGTAATTTGGGCGAAACGTGAGTTGGTTGAAATGTAATTTGGGTGAAACGTAATATTGGGTGAATCGTGAATTGGGCGAAACGTTATAACTTTTCACCCAGTTCAAGTTATTGGATGAAACGTGATTGGGCGAACTGTTACCACACCTTCTTTTGTTGTGAATATTAGGGTGTCAGTAATAAACATTCTAACAGGGTTTTCTTAGGTTAAAAATAGCTCTATGATTGTCTTTGAATGAAATTAAAACTTCTTAGATTTCTGAGTTTTGCCTTCGATCCTTACTTTCACATTTAACTTTCTTGTTTATTAATTCTAACTATTTAAAGAATGTAAGAGTTCGTTCACAGACCACGGTATCTTTTCATCAACAGGCAAAAGCTTAATACTGCCAATGTACTCAGCGTTAACGGTTAAAAGTTTCCATGGTCTAAATGAATGATTAGATAAGGGTGGTGGTGGTAGGGTATTCTCATGAGCAAACTGAAAGAATTCATTTGATTGGTTTACCTTGAGATTGAGATCATAAATCTCTGTCTCTGAATCTTCTAGTTGAGATGTAATCCTTAAACTCTCTTCTCTAATCTTCTCTAGTTTATCTTCAAGATAAACCATCTTCTGTGTATACTCATTCTCCATGGTTTCAATGCAATGAAGATATTCAACATGTTCTTCTTCATTCTCTCTTTCCTTCTCCAGTAAATCTTTTGTATGAGCAAACTCCTTCTTCTGATCTTCATTCTTCATATTTAGGGCTTTCAGGATGTTTTCTTGAGCACTGATCTTCTTATTCTGTATCTCAATATCCTTGTTCAGTTCATTAATCCTGGTGTTTAGTTTTACTCTTTGCTGAAAACTATTACAGATAATTCTCTTCATATTCTTCTTCATGCACTTGACAAGAGTAGCAATATCATCATCCGCGGGCTCTTCAACTAAATCTTCAGAAGCTGCTTGTGTTACATTGTGATCATTCTGATCTATATTGGGTTGATCTTTAGAATCTGCATGGACTGCATCATCTTTCTTCTGAACTATATTGGGTTGATCGTTATAAGCTGCTTGCTTTGCATCATTATTCTTCTGACCTATATTGGGTTGATCTTTCGAAGCTGCTTGTATGGCATCATTATTCTTCTGAACTTTATTGGGTTGATCTTTGGAAGCTGATTGTTTAGCATCATTATTATTCCGAACTTTATTGGTTTGATCTTTAGAACCTTCTTGTTTAGCATAATTACTCTTCTGAACTATATTGGGTTGATCTTTGGAAGCTGGTTGTTTTGCATCATTATTCTTTTGAACTATATTGGATTGATCTTTCGAAGCTGCTTGCTTTGCATCATTATTCTTCTGACCTATATTGGGTTGATCTTTAGAAGCTGCATTATTCTTCTGAACTTGATTGTGTTGATCTTTGGAAGCTGCTTGTATGGCATCATTATTCTTCTGAACTATATTGGGTTGATCGTTAGAAGTTGCTTGTTTTGCATCATTCTTCTTCTGAACTATATTGGATTGATCTTTGGAAGCTGATTGTTTAGCATCATTATTCTTCTGAACTATAATGGGTTGATCTTTGGAAGTAGCATTATTCTTCTGAACTATATTGGGTTTATCGTTAGGAGCTGTTTGTATGGCATCATTATTCTTCAGAACTATATGGTGTTGATCTTTAGAAGCTGCATTATTCTTTTGAACTATATTGAGTTGATCTTTAGAAGCTGCTTGTATGGCATCATTCTTCTTCTGAACTACATTAGGTCGATCTTGAGAAAAATCTGGATTATCACCAGTATTTAACATTTTGTTTGTTTAAATTAACTTTTTGTAAAACTTCTGAAAAGAAATACAATTTACACGGACTACAGAACAACGTCAATGCAACTAATGAACATGTGAATGTATAATAATCACATCTAAACTGAATTGTTATTATATGTTTATATAGGTTTGTATTTTAAAAAGTTTGTTAGGTCATAATTTTAGTCAATCCCCAGGGATGTGTATTTACATATTTCATTTGCTCTCCACTTGGTTTATGATTCAACTTGTCTTCACTTCAAGCTGAATAAGCAGAAAAGTTAAAATAAGATTTGTACAAGAGGATTTCTCCACAACACTTTCTTATTCTCCGTACTTAGATCTCGACAGTCTTATCTTTGCTGCGGTTTGCCTACTTAGAATAGGACTCTTAAAAGGACTAAAAGCGTGAGTTCAAGTGTACCTCAATGCAGAGATATCAATGCCCAATTTACAACGGTACACTTAAAACATTTTTCTGATTATGTATAAATTAAATTTGCATATTATTGTTACTTCAAACTGTTTCTTTTCATTTGCGCAGTAGAGAAGTTATCAGAATTAAACACTTTTCGTGTCAGGAATACGATGCACTATGCATAAGAATGAAAAAAAACGGCCAAAACTACTTACACATCATATCATTTTAAAAATTATATCTAAATGTAAGTTTCTGGGGTCAGGCAAATTGTAAGTTTGAGGCAAAGTGCCTCGGTATTTTTCATATTATTGAACAGATTAAGGTTAGGAGTACCATTGTAATGCGGACATTGCTATCTGTGCATGGAGGGTCACTTGAAATTATGTATACAGTCCCTTTTAGATATGCTAATTTGCATGCTAAATTCTGGTTTCTGCATGAAGTACAGTGCGAATAAATGATTTGGCAAATACAATGGAGGAAGACCCAAAGTTTCCCAATGGGTAGAAAAAGAACAAATTTAAAGCTTTTCAATTGTTCATTAATTCCGTAAATCTTAAGGTAATGTTCAGGAACCAGACCCAGATCATTAACCAGACCCGCATCATGATTCATGAACCAGACCCAGATCATTAACCAGATCCTGACCCAGACCCAGATCAGGAACCAGACCCAGACAAGGACCCATTTTTTCCATGGCGGATCAAAATTAAATGGATCTTTAGCATTGGGCTTTTATGTATGTAACCCTTCGTCCGTCCTTAAAGGATTAAGAAATACAGCTAAATAGATACATATAATCCTTCCATTCTTTCCTTCTTCCAAACTAAAGTAAAGTAACCCTAATTAATGAAAACCCATCTCAACGTTGTTTTATCCTTTGCAATGACGCAAACAAATGACGCATGATGTAGGATGCACCAATGTAACTCATGTGACGCACAGGTATTACAGTAGGGGGTTTTGGTCCGAGCCAGGGGGTATATTTTTAAGAATCATTTTCCAAAAAGTGTAACTGTAATAATACTAAATAATAAAGGTCAAAGTATTTAAACGAAGATTATTGAAAATTATGAAATCATATTTTCGAGTCTGAATTAAAGTCTACGTAATATATAATATATATATATAGCTTGGCTTAGAACTAATATTAAATAGGGAAGAAAAATTTGAAAGGTACATTAACCCCTTAATTATATTTTATCATTTTTAATTTTCAGTCTCTACTGGCTAGCTTTTGTAGCGTATCCACTTAATATTAAAATAGAGCTTTTTCCTCATGCATTAATAATTTTTTTTTAAATCGACCATTCCAAGTAATCAAATGTTCGTCAGTAAGGTACATACTACATATTCTACAGCGAGACAATGTACATAATATATGTATTAAATATAGTGCCTCGTAGGTATTAAAAACACATATCTCACAATACAGAAAAACTTGATAATTTATCATGAAAAGTAAGTGCATCATGAACTGTTAGAATTTACATTCTACATCTTGTACATAATAGTAGTGTAGATAGATAGATGATTGTGATCTGTACAATGCATATCTAAAAAGAGTCTAGTTTGTCGTTCTAAGATGTTTCTTTAGTTTAGGAATCTCTCTCCGGAGTTTAGGTTTACTACTAGGTTTGGTGAAAGGATCCTTGTTCTCTGTATCCTCGGACCCGGAGAAGCAACCTGACTCAGACTTAACCTTCTTTTTCTCCATCATTGGTTTAAGGTCACCTGAAACAAAATATAACGGTAAATAAAAGAGATTTCTAAACAGGTTGTTATGAAAACGTGTCAATATAACTTTTATTATTTAGAGGGGTTATCATTATTATTAAACAAACTCCTGGGGATATTCTGGTCCCCTAGGAAGCCACAACCCATCAGTACTTCCTCTAACGATACGTGAACAATCACGCCTGGGGTCGTCTGTTTGAAAAACCGCTTGGGGCATGTTCTGTTATTGAACCCTGGATGTAAGCACACCGGGTGTTGGGAGTATATGGAACCTGAGTGAGCCGAGTCCCTAGGTTGACATCCTATATTTCTCACTTTTTAGAATCAAGAGTCAAAATATCAGAAAATCATTTGTTCTAAATTTAACGAAGTCAGTGACAAAATATTTCTATTCAAAACTTAGTTTTTAAGTTGCTTCTAAAACAGAGAAATATTTCTGATAAAATTCCGCAATTATATTAATTAGTGAAACAGATGGTTCCTGGTTACTCATTTTACCATGGAAGCTTCTTTCTCAGTTCTATTAGAGGATGAGACTCTAATGACGACCTAAAGCTCTTCATTATTTCATTTGTTGGTTTTAGTCTCATCCTTAAATATTTTGTTAAGTTAAGAAAAGAAAGAAAAAGGTTTGTAGCTTCCACAAACAATAAAACCATGGAAAAAGAGTGCGCGCATTGTCTCTGAAGTCTCATCCGTTGTGGGTAACCCTGTAGACTCCAAGACTGAACTATACCTGAAGTTTCTCTGGATATATATCCCCTGGAACTACTGGAGTTAGAGCAGGTTGAGTTGTGGGTAACCCTGTAGACTCCAAGACTGAACTATACCTGAAGTTTCTCTGGATATATTTCCCCTGGAACTACTGGAGTTAGAGCAGGTTGAGTTCTGTCTCGATATCTGAATATAAAATACAAAATACAGAATGTTAAAACGTGTATTTAGAGAAATCAACATAAGGGACTGTAGAACTAATATCACATGACTCTCCAATTGTAGATTGGCATATTCGAATAACAACAGTGCCATTTCAAGCGTTGTCCGCTCAAAAATACAAAAAATATCTATTATTTTCTTTTTGAAAATTGATTATTTCCAATACTGGTTTCTTGTGAAAATGGAACACCTTTGAAGCTAGAAAAACGACGATTTTGTCCACATTATTGATCAGATAAAGGATAACAGGACACCGTTGTGAATCGTACATATCCCTGTAAGAATGGAGGGTCATTGAGAGTCCGATAAAGATAATCAAAACATAGAATTTAAAAATCTATTAAATTTATCAAAACATATGCTATCATTATCAATTTAGAAAAACTATTTCTTAGCAAAGTTTTGTAAAAGTCTTGCCAAATGTGGTCACTGGTCATATAGGTCAAAGGTTCACACAATTTTTTTCTGATTCGTCACATCAAACTACGATCTATTTCTGAATAGATAAAAACTCAACAAAAACTGAAATCAACTCTAGAAAGAGGACTATTTAAGCCTGAATTCTAGTTCGTTACTTAGCACCCTGAATTTCTAGTACCTGTCCTCTGGTATCTGAGTTAACAGTTGAATCTGATACAACACTGTCATCATCATCATCTTCATCCATTTCCTCCAGGGGTAGACGGGCAGCTACACTAGCGTTCTCTGCAGCAGTTCTATACCTAAACAAAACCATGTACTCGGATTTTTTTAGTTCATCTTAAATCTAAAACCAAATGAGGAGGGGGGGGGGGGAATACATAAAAATGCACACACCTGTATTATTCTCAATCTTTGTTCGATAATGTAGGTTTTATTTTACTTATAATAAGTGCGCGATTCTATACAACTTCAAAAAAATAAATTTATTTTGGAAAATGTAATTTTTCTTCATGCTACAGACCTCCCTGATATTTAGATCAACATGGGTTTAGTAAGTTTACCTTTGAATAATTCTGTCATGAGGAGAGGTTGCTGCAAGATATCTAGGATATACCCTCTCCGTCCTAGCAGGAGTAGAACCAGTTGGAACATCTCTCTGTAAGGACTCCTGGAGGAAGGTTCGGATCTTCTCCTCCTGATCTTGAGTTTGCTGTCCCAGCTCTGAGCAACTCTTCTCAGATAGTCCTGATAGCTCAAGAACAGTCCCGGAGAGCTTGGACAGATTGCTTGAGTCTTGGTCTTGGAGAACCTTGATGGAGCCGATGGTCTCCTTCTGGAACCTGTTCATCTGTTCAGTAGAGTAATTTATTTCATCCCGGAACCTGGTAACATACGCTCCTGTATCCTGCTGTCTCTGCTGGTATTGCTGGGAAGAAGTTTCTTCTAATTTCTCCAACATGGATTTGGTCTCGATGCAGAACGAGCTCACGTTTCCAGCAATACTACGAGTCCTGGTTTCAACACTCTGGTTCAGAGACTCACATTTTACTTTCTGCGAGTTTACGTTCTCCACCAAGTTTTCTCTCTGGGTTGCAATCAAGGTTTCAAACTGTGCTCTTGCCACACCAGACTCCTCGCACTTCTGGTTCATATTAGCAACACGTTTATCTCCTGACTGTATAAAGGACCGGGAGGACTTCTCCAACCTGGAGGAGCAAGCTGAAACCTTCTCCGAGTGCTCAGTGTATTTGGACATAAGATTTTCGAGCAAAGATTTAAAAGATTTCTCAGATTCTTGAATAATTCTGTTCTCCTCGAGAACGGATTCCAGGGCTCGGGAACTTTCTTTCGAGTACTCACGGACATCTTCGATCATCCTCACAATATTCTCGGACACCTGGAGAGTAAACTTGTCGAAGGTCTCCACCATCCTGGAGAAGTCGGACACGACGGATTTCTCCAAGTCTGACAAGATCTTGGACTTGGAGGTCAGCTCCTGGCTGATGAGATCAAGCTGTGGAGATATCTGGTTCTGGTCAAAGTCGGTGATCAGCTGCTTATACTTCTCAACCATACCTGAGACGGTTTCATCGTGACTCTTGACCCAGGCCTGCTCCCCGGCCAATTGCTCATCAATCATCTGAAGAACCTTGGTATCGGATACCCCCTGAACCTTCTTCATCTCCACGACAAGGTGTTTCACCTTCTCCAGGGTTCCTCTCTTCTCTTCAAACTGAGATTTCAGTGTCTCCGTGAACTTGGAGCAGGAATATCCATGCTGAGTCTGAAATGCCTCAAGGTGGTTGCGCATCTCGGATATAGAACCCGTGAATTTCTTGAGAAACTCGTCCTTCGCCTCCTCGTTCGTCTTCTCCACCTTCTTCGTTCTGTCCAGCTTTTCGTGCAGGAGCTTGAGATCCCCAGAGGTCTGATCACTAACAGTAAGAAGCTTCTTAGCCTGCTGTGAAAGCTTCAGCTCAGTCTCGACATGCTTCTCCACCAGATGTTTCTGCTCCTCCCTCTCATTAGCAGTCTTGTGGAGGACCGCCTTGGTGCAGTTGAGAGTGTGCTCTGTATCCTTGAGCAGGGAGTGGGTGTTCTCCAGCTCAGCTGTAGTTTTCTATAACAAGTTTTCTGTAAACAAGATTTTAAATGTAATTTAAATTAGTTTTTGGACAAAAAATGTATATTTTTTGTACCTGGAGTTCTCGTGAACATTCATCAAACATCTCTTCATGCTTCTCCATCTCGTCTTTCATTGCCTTGATCTGTCCGAACTTCTCAGCGATCTCCTGAGCCTGGGATTCTATCTCTGCCAAGATACTCTAAATTAGAATATAATAGAGTAAATGAGGACACAGACAGGGAAGTGAATTGAATAGAGCTTGCTAAACTACATACAGAAAGGATCAAATCATGAATCATCTATCAGTATTTGAACCGGCTGTAGGTAGTTTAGCGACCTCTCAATTTCCTTGAAACTCATTGTGGTTCAAAGATTGTAAGCACTCAAACAAAAACCGATGAGAATTTTGCCAATTACTTCTTAAAAACCAAAGTGTTTTCAGGTGCTAAAACGTACATGTAAAGAACTATAGAAAAGCATTAGTGAGTTAGAGCGGTAAAATGACAGCCCAAGGCGTTGCGACACTTCAAAGTGGATCCTGTCTTCAAAATTTATGAGACTTTTTATGAGCAGGCTGAATCTAATTGAAGTCAGTCCCGGTGTTGTGCATGGGGCGGACTTGAACCCTTAAATTTTACCCATTTTAACGCAATGTCAAGACACAAAAAGCAATGTTAAAACCAGTGTTTCGGATCCGGATCAGGTCGGATCCGGATCATTTGGTTGGATCCGGATTTGTATCAGGAAACGTTGATATGGATCCGGGTAGCGCCAAAAATTAACCAAAACCATGGAATAAATAAATCAAAATGGTTCGTAAATGTATTATTTACATGACGAAAATTTTTCAAAATTATCTTTAATAATTTAATGTTTACATTTATATAATAGTAATGACGACATTTTTAACTTTAGGATTACTATAGTTTATAAATTATAACCTTGCATAACATTTGATAGGGAAAATCCGATTCACAGAATCAAAAGTTACCTCGGATCCGGATCCGGATCCGGATCCGTATCAGGATCCGGATCCATCATCACGGATGCGGATCCGGATCCGAATCAAAATGATATGGATCCGAAACACTGGTTAAAACAATAAAAAATATTATATGACTTTAACTCTAGTTTTACACTCCTCAGTCAATATATGTTTGTATTTCAATACGCATTTACTACTTAAATTTATTTTAAAGGGGGTAAAGGCAAAAAGAGTATTTCCTCTTTCTTGAATGACATCTTTCTTACATCATCCAATAATTAATTTTTACTCGAGACATAGATAATTTTTAGTGTGCTTTCAAATCAAAATACATTGATAAATATCGGAAAATTTCATACATTGCTTTTTTCCATTTCAGAATTTTAAAGCCCCCTAAAAATTACTAACGATATTGAGGGAAAAATCAAAAGGGCCGGGATAATGATTTAGACCCAAATATATACCCGTTTATTCGAAAAGAAAACAAGAAAATCGAAAAAACTAATAACTAAAGAAGGAAAATAATAAAATAGTATAAAAAGAACACTAAAATAGAAAAATTGAGTATTAAGGATGAAATGAAGGTGAAAGTATAGAAAGGATAGCATCTGAGGTGTAAAAATGGGAAAATATGAAAAAGAGGCAAACCTGATAATTCTCGTTAGCTAGATAAATTCCGTTCTTCTCTCTGCTCGCCATTAAATCCTTCCTCAACCTCTCTATCTCCTCCGTGTACTCCTTGAGTACGGCCTTCTTACTCAGCTTCTGGTTTATCTAGGATAAGGTCAGGGCTAGAACATGTATCGAAAAAACTTCAGTTGGAACATAAAATTGAGAAATAGGTTAATTTTCTTTAAAATAATTCAACGTTTGTTTTTATCTAACTACTCGTAACTGTTATAAGATCCTAAAAACTGTACATTTTAATATACTTTCACAACAAAATAAATAAATGTGTATAAAAGTTGTGAAAGCAATAAAAATCGGACTTTTAATTTTCGTAACGAAATAATTACATTTGATGTTTGTTTGTAGAATCTCCTTTTAAGATTAAACCTCTTTTTTCGCATTATTTATTTATATATTGTTCCTTGCTATACGAGAAATCTGTTATAAGATCCTTGCTAAACGAGAAATCTGCTATAAGATCCTTGCTATACGAGAAATCTGTTATAAGATCCTTGCTATACGAGAAATCTGTTATAAGATCCTTGCTATACGAGAAATCTGTTATAAGATCCTTGCTATACGAGAAATCTGTAATAAGATCCTTGCTATACGAGAAATCTGTTATAAGATCCTTGCTAAACGAGAAATCTGTTAGAAGATCCTTGCTAAACGAGAAATCTGTTATAAGATCCTTGCTAAACGAGAAATCTGCTGTAAGATCCTTTCTAAACGAGAAATCTGTTACAAGATCCTTGCTATACGAGAAATCTGTTATACGATCCTTGCTATACGAGAAATCTGTTATAAGATCCTTGCTATACGAGAAATCTGTTATAAGATCCTTGCTGTACGAGAAATCTGTTGTAAGATCCTTGCTATACGAGAAATCTGTTATAAGATCCTTGCTAAACCAGAAATCTTAAAAAGAAAGCAATGACAGCAGTTTATTTTCCATGAAAGAAAACGTGAAACCTCTGGTTTGTTCTGTATATTCTTTGCTCTATGAGCGTAGTCCAGAGTTGACAAGGTTTCCTCCAGGTTTATTCCTAAATATCAGGATATAATTGTTAATAGGATAAAAATAAGGGTTAAAGTATGTGAAAAGAGGGATGTGGCTGGAAAAATAACGATGTTAGAATAAAATGAAAAGGGGTATGAGAATAAAAAATAAGGGTATAACGATAAAAAATGAGGGTATAAGGAAAAAAAATAAGGCTATGAGGATAAAAAATAAGGGTATAATTAAAACGGTACGAGATCAGTGAAAAATACCAGGGTATATTAAGATAACAAGGGTAAAAGAATAGAAAATAAGGAGAAATGAATAAAAGAAGAAGAAATTAATTGAAAAAAGGGTAAAAGAATAAAAAGGGTTTGGAGGGAAAACAAATTATAATTAAGTTAAAATAAGATTGAAAGGATAACATCTTTAGTCCCGTGTACAGGTACTGTTGATGTTAGGTTTTGGATTATTTCCCAAAGGTAACTCAAAAAACTCAAAAAATTCACAAAATTATAATATCTTAAGTAATTTTTTATTTTAGATAATTTGCATTTCTCAAATGTCTTTTTAGAAAAAAGGGGATAACGGAAAGTGTATTTATGGAAATTGTATCAATAAAAGTTTTAAACGAATATATTAGAAAATTTAGATTTAAGGGAAAGTTGTTGGAAATTGTTGGTTGAGGCTTCAGGAGTATATTGGTTGAGGCTTCAGGAGTATATTGGTTGAGGCTTCAGGAGTATATTGGTTGAGGCTTCAGGAGTATATTGGTTGAGGCTTCAGGAGTATATTGGTTGAGGGAAAATGTTGATGGCATAAAGTGTTTAGGGAGCAATGAGCATATACTGATACGGGAGTTCAAAAGTTTGAGGGGACATAAAGTGTTGCGGGAGTATAAAAAGTTTGAGGGGATGTAAAGTATTGTGGGTGTATTAAGTGCCGTTAGTACCTGCGGGTGAAACTGTTGCAATAATAGATGTTTTAGTTCTTCCTCCCAGAGAATCCTGGAGCAGACGGGTCAACTTGGATTCCCGATACGGTATATGGGGGGCTCTCTCAACCAGACACGTGATCACACGTCCTACAGATAGATATATAGTTAGGAGGAGATATTAGATAGATACAATTTGGTGGGCTCTCTCAACTAGACATGTGATGAACTGTCCTACAGATAGATAGATAGTTGGAAAGAGATATTTATAGATATATAGGTAGGAGACAGGGGTGTGTATTTTTATGAATTACTCCCCCCCCCCACCCAAGAGGGGGGGGGGTCATTTTTGATGAATTGGGGATGAAAATTGAAAAAAGGGGACATCAAAAGCAAGTTTGTTCATTCTTTTTGGTACTTTTTACCAGTAAAATCATTTATTTTCCCTGAAAAATCAGTTATTTGAAAGGGGGGATATGATTTGTTAGGAAAATATACACCCCTGTAAGAGGAGATATTAGATAAAGAGAGAAGGATATATTAGATAGATAGGTAGGAGGAGATCTTCATAAATATAAGTTAAAAGAATAAGAAAAGGATTGGAATCCTGAGATCGCCACCAGAAAGAACCATTGTTCAATTCGGTCCCTTGCCAACAGGATACATCCTACACTATCTTGTGAACCCGGAAGATACCACCAGGGGCTAACTGACCAAATAACCCATGGGAATTATGCGTACTTTGCATGAAAAGGAGAAGAAGATCAAGTTACCTAAAGTGAGTAGAGACTGGTTTATATTCCCAGCCTCTCTAGCGCGCTTGTCCTGCGCACCACTCCGCCCAATATTCTCGCTGCCGGCCAGATCAACCAGGTTCAGCTTTCCTATCCGCAGAACTTCTTCACCTTGAAAACAAAAGTTTTATAAAATGAAAAATAATTTTCAACCTTCTTCAAAAATCCTTTATTTTCACCAGGCAATTAGGAAGGTTTGCGTGGAGTGCTTATTTAGAGAAAACTAATTTTTTGGAAACAGTATTAAAAATAGGGGGAATTGCCAGTAGATATCCAATTTTTCATTTTAGCCATAAGATTGAATGGGCTTTTAACAATAGTCTGATTGATAATTAATTGTATAAGAATGATGATGATGAATTTCGTGTTACGTGCAGTTGATTGATTGATTAGTAAATTGATTTAAATGGAATTTTGAAATGATTTATACAGAATTAATAATAATCAAAGTTAAAAAAACATTAGAAAACAATAAGTAAAAAATGGTTGAACAAAATTTGATAGTTTGATATCAACAAACTAATGATGGATAAATCGGTATTTTCACAAGTTGCAACTTCCCAAGCGGTAATTTACCAAAGGTAAGACAAGGAATTGCAATGAGGGCCGAGGAACGAGCACTGGGGCTAGAACAAGCTAGGGGCCGAGCGCTGCGACTATGACAGGCTTGGGAATATGTACATTAGAGAAGTTACCACTTGGGAAAATGTCTTTTGGGAAGTACCTTACATCGATGAATCATCATTAATAAAATTTATTGATATATATTTCCGTCCAAATTGATCTATATTACCATCAACACTAGACTCCTTGAGATGAACTGTGACTGTGAAGACTGTATGAGATCTACTGGAGTGTGCGTTCATTAAAGTCTCTGCAGTTTTCCTCTTTACACTTCCTTTCTCCAGGATCTCATAAACCTCACGTTTATTATGAACCTGAACCTCTTCAAGACCCTAGAACATCAACATATGAAGGGACTGTAGACGTAATTTCAAGTTAAGCTTCATTAATAGCGTGACAAGTTCAATTTACAACGATACCCTTTAAACTTTTGTAATAAAGTAAATAAGAAAGAAAGTTTTTTTTTAAGGTTTAATTCACTGAATTTGGGAAATTAAGTTATTCTTAGGGGAAACTAAATTTTACAATATTCTTTAAATATTTATATGATATCAGATGAAAATGTTTTGAGATTACTATATTTCTCGTTCTTCATTTTCTTCTTGTTCGTACATCTTTCAAACATATTTCGTCTTATTTCAAAATAAAAATAAATTTTTTTTTATGTCCTTGTTGTACGCCACGTTACAAGAAAGAACTATTTTTAGAAGATCTTTCTTTTTCTGAACTCTGTATTGCATTGAATAAGCTAAGAAGAACTTGTTTTCTTTTTTTGGAACTCTGAAATAAAATGTCTCCCCCCCTTCCTCCCTCCCCGGTGGGGAGGGGATGTCTTCCAAGCCCCATCTTTAATATCAAAAGATTTCCTTCCCATTTTTCCTTTTCAATTTTCTTTTTTCTTGTTGCTTACTGTTTCTTGTTTCTACACTTTAAGGCTCTCCTCCAAATAGTTCTTTTGACATCAAGTTAATGAGCAGGTAGGAGAGAGATAAGGAGGTTTGTAGGAGGAAGGATATAAGTGATTGCTCCCTGTTTCCCTTCATGTTATAGTCTTCCCACTTAAGGGGAATTTTAAGGAAACCCATAACTGCACCCCTTATGCAAAATGGGGAGTTGTNACAGCTGGTAGAGTAAAGAACCAGTATAGTTGTGCATGGCTTGTATACCCATCAGGGGTTAAACTCCTTCTTTCAGCTACACCAGGCAGAAGATTTGAGTCTTGTTTAATTCTGTATTACATTTGACAGGCTACTCCCCTGTAGGATAAGACATGTGTGCATTGTGCAATTAAACGAAGCTCTCTCCCAAACTGTAAAGCCAGGACCACTGTGAGAGAGGTTCATTCTCTTCTGAGGGCAATAAGCAACTGAGGGGAAAATAAATGAATTTTTAGGTAAAAAGTAACAAATAGGACAAAAAAAAAATTTTTTTTTCCCAGATTATCAAAAATTATCCTTCCGATCCCAGGCCAGGGGGAGGTAATTCTTAAAAATATACACCACTATGCAAGTAGCAGAGCTCAGCCTTATTTCATTATATTTGTAACATACAGATTACTACCCTCCAACTTCCTATAGATGATAATCCCCCCCCTCTCCCCTCAACTTTCCATTCCTAAATATAAGCGACTGACCTGAATGATAACAGATCCCTTCTTCGTAGAATCCTCGTAAAGTCTCAGTCTAAGAAACAATCCAATAATTATCTAAGACTTTATTTCACATTGAAGGTAATGTAAATGGAGAAACGACTAATATTAAATGCAAATTTTTCGATTATGTGAAAACACTTTTTTGCCGATTGTTTGTTTGTTTTCTTATTGCCTTTCCCACTATTGTAACTTTTTTCATTAAAAGTTAAAATTCATGAAAATCTCCGACTTTTAGGTATTTTTGGGTTGAGGGGATCGAGTGAGGGATCTGTGGGTCGGGCGGGGGTTGAGGGGATCAGATGAG